TCCCCTGGGAGGTGGGCAGGCCAGGAGGGGAGCCCTCGTGGATGGGTCTGTGCCCTCACAAGGAGCCCCCGAGAGCTCTCCTGCCCTCCTCCGCGCTGCGTGACATACAGCAAGGACACGCTGTCTACACCAGGAAGCCAGCCCCACCAGACCCCAAATCTTCCTCCGTGCTGCCCTCTGGCCCCCGCACTGTGGGCGCGGCCTCTGAGGCTGTGGTGTGGTTGGAACAGCCTGAACAGAGTGGTCAAAATCACAGGAGAAGGTGGGAGGCCGGGGGCGTGGCGGGCGGGGCGGGTGGGGACAGGGCTTGGGTTCTGCTGGAGGAGGTCCAGAGCTTGCTGCACAAGAGCACCCTGTCGGAGGCTCCCAAAGGTGGCTGAGAGGGCAGCGGCACAGTGATGACCATCATGGTTTAAAAATGGAACAACAGAAGCCAAGGACCAGACTCAACAAATTCAGCTACTCTGTCTCTGGGAGCTACGGCCCCAAGTTAAAGGGACCTCTGGCTGGGGACAGACCGTTTCCTCAGACACAATCTGACTCTGCCCAGCCCTGAATGGGGGCCCTGCTTTGGAGGGTGCTGCAGGCTCATGACCCCCCTTGCAGAGCTGTCGTAGGTGGGGTGCTGGGTGCAGGGAGGCGACAGTCCCACTGAGGCACAGCCATATAAACAGAGGCACCTAGGGCCTGCTGGACTCCCCGGGGCTGCCTCTCCAAGTCCCCTTTCCCCCCAGTCACAAGGCCACTGTCCTGCCACGGCAGGATGAGGGCAGGACAGACTGGGCCTGGGACAGGCCCCACCCGACACACATCCCAAACACCCACCTGAGAGCAGCAGCCCGAGACCCTGGACGCCCGATTAGGCAGCTACTCGGCAGGAAGAGCCCTTAAACTGTCCCACTAAACTGCATCTGCAAGAAACCCAGCACCTGTTCTCCTCGCCCCCTACAGCGACATCTCCTGGCCAGCTGCCTGTTCAGAGCCGAGAACTGGTCAGAGGCACAGGAACACAGGGGCTCTGAGGACCCGGCAGAGGAGAGGGCTGCCCAGCTGTGCTAATGAGGACAGGGACAGTGCCCTGGTAGGGGCACGGGGCAGTAGAGGGGAGGGCATCCTGAGAGTGGAAAGACCCACCAGGGGCAGGTGGGGGCACAGCACCCCAGAGAACAGCACCTGCCCTGCCCACTGGCCTCGCCCACTGGCCTCGCCCACCAGGTGGTCTTGGCCCTCTCTAGGCAGCTCAGCACCCCTCAGTTTCTGGAGGATTTCTGAATGACTGGTGCTGGTCTCCCCTTCTCAGCCACTCCTCCTGAACCTGGTCAGAGCCACTGTCCTCTGCCGCAGGGCTGAGGGGCATCCCCACCTGCCTGACCCTGGTGCTTCCTCACACCCCCTGTGGCCTGGGGGCACAGCTTGTGCTCCACTGGGAAAACAGGACCTCAGCGTCCCCGACCACCTCACCCTAGGGTCACCACCTTCACAAACGACAACACCACAGGGGCCGTGGCAGGCAGTGTCCAGACAGCTGTGGGGACGGCCGACAGGAAGCGTCCACTCAAAGTGATTCATGCACAGCACAGCAGCCACCCCCAGGCCAGTGCCACCCCCCGTCAGAGTGCTCTTGGGCTTCGCGGAGTTAAAATTACGCCCGATCTCTAGATATCACAAGGCAGGATGTCACCAGGAAGCTGGCCCAGAGGGACTGGAGGAGCGGGGCTCTGGGGGCCACCCACCTCGGTCCAGTCATCGTCAGGCCCTGGGCTCCGGTGTGGTCAACGGCAGCCTCGAGCCTCACGGGGCTTCTGGACACCATGCAGCCTTTCTGAATGCTCTCCCCTCAGGCCCAAGCCACCGCCTCCCTGGAGGAAGCCCTCAGTCCAGGGTGGACCTCAGTGCCCCGGTGTGGGCATCAGCCTCGGCCCTCTCACGTGGCCACCCAGGCTCCAGAGGCTGGGCTACCAGACCCCAGAGGGCCCAAGCGGACATCCCAGGCCTCCATGCCCTCCCTGACACTGCCCATTGGAGCTGGTTTCTCCAGGAGAGAAAAGGAGCAGGAAGGAGGGTGGTCAGCTGCCCAGCGAGTCCCCGCCCTCTGCAGGCCCACGGGGAGGCCCCGCCTTACCTTGCCGAAGCTGCCCTTCCCGATGGCACGCAGGATCTGGAAGTGGTCGAAGTTCACTGCAGAAGGAAACAGAGGATGCAGGTGAGGCGGCCCGAAGGCCCACACCAGGCGCCAGCCCCCCCAGGCAGCAGGAAGGCCCACACCAGGCGCCAGCCCCCCAGGCAGCAGGAAGGCCCACACCAGGCGCCAGCCCCTAGTGCTCCCCAGCACCTTGCACCCCGCAGCCCACCAGAGACCCCGCTCCACCCTGCGGAGGGTCCACTGGGGCTCAGTGTGAACTCTGGCTCTTGTGCCAAGCAGGAAGCACTGAGCCCAAGTAGGGGAGGGCCCAGGCGGAGTAGCACCTCTTCTCAGGGCCCTCGTGGGTGGGCACATGCAACTGGCCCACAGACAGGACACAGGTGACCCAGAGGAAAYGTGCCCTGAGCATCAGACCACTCACTCCCTGTAGTCCTGCCATCAGCGACCCCCACGGACGGCCACCTGCAGTCCCCCCAAGTTCACACGTGCATGGACAGGCCAGCCTGGGAGTCAGGGAGCCCCTTTCTCTCCTTGGGAGCCTGCTGTCCCCCACTCTCCTGTACAGAGGAGTGGGAGAGTGTCCGTCTTGCTGGCTCTACTGGGCAGGCCTGGGGGGCTGTGAGGGGCTCTGCAGGGCCTGGTCATTCCCGCAGGGTCCACAGCACCCCTCCTGCAGGGGGCTTGCTAATCACCACGGCCCCCGTGAGGGACACGCTGTGGTGAGGATAACCCCAAGTGAGCCCCTGAGACTCCCCCCAGCCCTGCCCTGAGCCCGAGGCTGCCCACAGCACGATGCCCTTCAGCACTGGGCGCAGGCAGCCTCGGGACAGGCCCTCCAGCCTGCCCAGCACCAAGTCCGAACCCCAGGGCCCCCGCCCACGAGGGCAGGCACGTGCCTTGGCCCTTGCTGTGGGTGAGGCTATCAGTGCAACACGGGCCTGGGTGGCGCCGGGTGGGTGGAAGGGGTGCTTCAGGGAGCAAGGAAGGTGTAGGGCTGCCAGGGAGCCCCCAGGGAAGGGCCTCATCCCACAGAGAGAACCGAGGCCATGTGCCCTCTCGCTCCACTTTCCTCCCGCTGTGTCCCTGTCAGGCTCGGAGGAGTGGCCTTCCCTTCGTCCCACAGTCCCTGAGAATGGGCCCCCGGCAGGGAAGCACACTGCGCTGCCTGGCCCGATTCCGAGTCGGCCAGGTACCAGGGAAGGCCACGCCTCCCATCCTGACTGACAGGGGCACGAGGAAGAGCGAGGCAAGAGAGGCTGGGAGGTGGCGGAGAGGGACCCTGTGGGCACCGGCCACCAGTGAGTCCTGACCACACTGTTCTCCTCCTCAGCATGAGGCCAGSCCAGAGAAGAGCCATCCTCGGGGGACATCACCCGCACGGGGCTGTGAGGACCCTGGAGGGCACGGCCTGCTGCTGGCCCTTGCTGGGGTCTTTCTAAAGGGACCTCTTTGTTCTYGTCCTTGGCAACCTGTGCCAGTGCTGACGGGACGAGGGGAGGCCAGCACAGCTCACACTCAGGAAGCGTCCAGCGGTCCTCGGGAGGAGCAGCCCAGGGACTGGTGGGCAGCACAGAACTGGCTTTTGTGTCTGCACTGCGGAGGAGGACAACACAGTGTCCAGGAGGGCACAGGGCCGAGCTGGCAGCCATGCAGCCTGGGGTGATGTCTGTGCTGGGAGGCTCTGAGCCAGGGAACCTCCACCCGCCCAGTCCACACCAGGCCAGCTGCTGCTGCCCAGATGCTCCCAGGCTCCTACAGAGGCACCAGACGCTTTGCAAGTCTGTGGTTGGACAAAAGCCTTGCCCTTTCCACAGTGCTGAGGACGAAGCATGACACTCGTGCCACCTCCAGGGACACCTGGAATCAAGGGGCCACAGTCCCAGCCACCTGCCCAGTAGGTGCCTGGAATCCAGTCCAGCACCACCTGGGAGGGGGACCACCTGCGGAGCCACCCTGGTGCACAAGCTCTTGACCACCTAGCTGGGGCGGGAGCACCTGACCGTGTCACTCAGCCCCACTGCAGCTTAAAGGAGGCAGGGGGTGGGCATCCTCCTGCCCTAGGGTAGCTGGCTGGAGTCCCGCCCTGCAGCCCGCTGCAGCTAGCGCAAGGCAGAGCTCGAGCACCACGGGAACTTGGCCAAGACCAACACCATCTTTAGGGAAGAAACACTAGTTTCCAAGTTGAGTCTGCTGGAGAGAAGGACGGGAAATGAAACACACGGAGCAGCAGGTCTGGGGCGTAAGGGAGTCCCCGCCAGGCTTCTCGCTGCACGCTCAGACACCCGCGGCGTGTCACCACCAAGGGTTTTGGCAAGGAGAGCTCTCGGGGAAGGAGAGCTGGCGCGGTCTGTGGGCACAGAGCCAGCTGTGCCAGCAACCGGCAGGTGAGCGGGTGTGTGCTGCTGGCTTGGATGCTGGCCTGTGGCCTCCCGCCAGCCCTCAGCTTCCGGTGAGGGTAGGGAGGGTGCAGTCAGCGCCAGCAGCCCAGGCCATCAGGGTCTGTGGCTTTGAGCACAACTTTGYCCACTTCCTGCTGTTATGGGCCAAGCTAGACGGGCAATGACCAAACGGACTCCGTTTGGCCCTGAGACTCCAGTCCTGGAAGGCTTGCTTCTGCCAGGGAAAGCCCACCTCTGCACCCATCACCAGCTGCCTGGCACAGCACGCTTGGCAACCCACAGTGGCAATTCTTGCACAATGTGAAAGTGTTCTCTCTTACAGTCTTCATGTCAGTAACCATTCTTTAACTTGTACTCAACTACGGAGGTTTTGGCCCACTTCCTTTCCTGCTTATGAGTTTAGATCTCATGACGTTTATGGTCATAGCAACACGGCAACAGCCACTTATGACCTAACAGGGTTTTGGGCTATAAGAGGTGGACTCAAACCCCGGGAGGGGGTCACAGGGTGTAGACTTGCAGCCTGCCCATGGCCCACAGCTGGTGGATCCAGACCGCCAAGTGGTGAATAAAGTTTCCATCTCCTGCTTTAAGATTGACTCTGTGGCTTATCGAAATCTCACCTTCACACTATACCTAACCAGGAGGGCAGTCACACGGACAGGGGTCCCAGACAGTGGCCCCCAGACAGGCACAGAGAAGTCCCGGGTGAGACGGGAATCCCCGATGTGGCTGGCAGACACCTTGAGGCAGGCAGAGTGGGGTCCCTGGGCAGGGCACACATGGCAATCCCCACCAAAGACCCTCCCAGACAGCTGCCTCCCAGGCACCTCTGCCCAGACCCTGCCTCAGTCCTCAGGGTGCCAGGGGACTACATGGGGCACCCCTACGCCTGCTGCCCACCCTGACAAATAGGTTCCTACCTGGCTCCTGACCCCCCAGCTGGGGTGGGAGCACTTGACCATGACAGTAAGCACCACCACAGCTTACATGCCCCCACCCTGCAACTCAGTCCAGGCCAGGGAGGAGCAAACCCAGGGCTTGCCCAGGTCCCTCCCCTGGGGCCTGCCATTCGCAGCCCAGGAGGGTCTCAAGTTTCTCTGTGGCGGGGCCAGGTCCTCCCCTAACCACCTGCCCTGCCCAGCTCCCAGACAGGTACTCAGCCCCATTTCTGGTTCCTAAAGGAGATGGCAGCTCTTGGTCCAGCCCTTACAGAGGTAATTAGGGAGGAAACCACCAGCAGGAATCTGTCAACACAGTCGTCTTATTGGAGGGCTTCTCCAAGAGCAAGACTGTCAGCAGTCTGACGTGGTAAAAGCCACCGRCCCACATCCCATCCAGACGGCTCCCTCTGTGCAGCTCAAGAAAACCCACTCTGGTGGCCTTTCTGACAATCCCCAAGTCTGTACCCCAAGTGTGCACCAGTTAGAGGAAGGACAGAGCTGGCAGGGCCCTGGGGGTGCCAGGCCTCCGTGCAGGGCCAGCATCAGCCCCACAGCCACATGAAGACATTGTGGCTGTAAGAAAATCAAAGCACAAATTCCTGACTGCCCAAACCTGCCCATCAACAACAGCTTCCCCTCCCAGGCCCTGACGTGGACTCCCACGGCCTCCCTGCACACAGCAGCCAGGGGACTCAGCCCACTGTGCCCAGAAGAGGAGCCTGGGGCCCTGCAGTGCCTTCTCAGCCCCTTCCCCATTTGGGAGAAGCAGGAAATGCCCCTGAGCACACTGGAGTCAGGGAGACACTGAGAGGCCCAGGAGTGGGGATAGGCAGGAAGGGCAGGAAGGGGTGGGTTGCTGTTTTTCACAAATTTGTTGCAGAGGTATTTCCAAAGCTGATATTTGGACAAACACGTGAGGGCCTGCGGCCRGGTACCTGGACTGAGCAAGACCGGCTTGCACGTTCTCCAGGGTGATGGGCTATGGGAGGCCAAGGCCACTCTCCCCTAACGCAGGCAGCTCTTAAAGCAGAATGTGGGTAAAAGGACAGCCACTTCGACTCCTGGCCATCCTAGCCAGCATGTACATGTTCCCCACAGGAACCAAGGAGCTGTTGGGGAAGCGGCCTGCCTGTCCTGTGCCTGGGCAAGGCTCGGCTGGGCCCCAGCCCCACGGCCCACTCCACTGTGTGTAGCAAGCTGAGGGACACAGCCTCTTCCCAGTGCAGATAAATATTTTAAAATCCAGGCTTTAAAATTCATTCTTCAGAGGTCTCTGCTTTGCAGCACTGGCTGAGGGAAGCTCGGTTGTTGCCATGGGAACAGACTCTCCTTCTGCAGGAGCGCCAGGAGGTGTCCTGCGAGCCACCTGGGAGGCCCACCAGGCCCCGTCCACAAAGGCTGCCGGCTGGGCTCAGCTCACAGACAGCTCTTGTCACTGTGGCCCAAGCCCAGTGCCCAGATGGACTTTGTTCTCAGTCTCATCCAACCTTGAGGCTCAAGTAGGGGCAAAGAGAACCATGCCAGAGGCAAGGCAAGGGCCTCTCTTCCTGAAAGTGGTCCTCACGCATGGCCCTGCTCCCGCTGGCCTCACACACATCACTCCTGCCCCCCGGGCCGGCGGGATACCAGGACTGTGCTGGGAGCAGGCGAGCTCCGGACAGGGGCCGCCAGCACATCTGGCCGGGACAGGAC